GATTGATTGATTGATTGATTGATTGATTGATTGATTGATTGATTGATTGATTGATTGATTGATTGATTGATTGATTGATTGATTGATTGATTATGTTTCTTCAGTGTTTGTATGTAGGACATATGGCAAGCAAAAACACCCTTAACTTGCAGTTTTACAGAAAAAATTGTAAGCTCAGATATAATAGATGTCATTGGTAGTTTGGGGTGGTGCATGATGGGTGAAAGAAGACACTCAGAGAGTACCATGCAGAGAGTAATTCGCAGAGTAACACTCAGAGAGTATCACTAAGAGTATCACTCAGAGTATCACTAAAAGAATAAGAATAAGAATAACACACAGAATAACAAACACTCAGGGTAACCCTCAGAAAGTAACACTCAGAGAGTATCACTCAGAGTAACCCTCAGAGTAACACTCAGAGAGTATCACTCAGAGTAACCCTCAGAGTAACACTCAGAGAGTATCACTCAGAGTAACCCTCAGAGTAACACTCAGAGAGTATCACTCAGAATAACACACGGTAACACTCAGAGAGTAATCTGGAAACTACAACACTTCAGGATGATAATAATCTTGTCTGAATAATCAGTACTCAGGTACTGACTGCAGTAGAGTTGTTTTTATTTACCTCTCCAGCTCTCTGCTGTTGCTGAGTCATCATCTTGTCTTGTATCTGGTCGTGATCACTTCTGTTCAAGTTCATTGTGGCACTCGGTTGGGGGCTCATGCCTAGAGATGGTGCTGATCCCACTGATCCATCTGACAGAATGGGCTCACTGCTGGACAGAGAGTCTGTCCTCAACAAGGACTCTGGTGGAGGCAAGCTGGAAACAGGCAACTTGATCTGAAAAGACAGGCAGTTTGGATGAAGATGATGGTGAATTGTTAACCTTTAAAGTAAAATGATTGGCGTGTTTGTCTGATGTTGAGTTTGGGGTAAAAAATAAATTATAATTATTCAATCAGTTTTAAAGCATTTAAAGGCAAACGAGAGAAAAGTATTTCCTCAATTTTTTGTTAGAATCAAAGGTTTGTGCATATTTTTGACAGCACAAAGAAAATTTTACTTAAATGATGATGATGAAAATTTGAACTAGAACATGCCATATAACTTTATAAAGGTATAAGCTTCCTGTTCTGAAGCACAACATTAATCACGAGTTTCTTTAAACAACTCTAATCTTAAAAAATTATGATGAAGAACAGCAGAAGAGGAGTAAAGAGAACAAAGTTCAAAATAAATGTTAAAGATGATTGTGGTGGTTACCACACACCTGCATCTGTCACTCCCTCACCTCAACAAAATAATACAGGCAGACAGACACACAGCGTAAAAACTAAGCCTTAAACCAACAATCATTGAAACAATCTACATTTCTTGAGTTGTAAGATGTGGGTGCTTCACTTTTATCCCAAATTATTTTGTGACACTGGGAATTCAAACCTGCAACCGCACCACCACACAACAGAAAATTCTGAGCTCAGGAGAGTTTAGGTGTGCACACTGCAATAAGACTCAACTAAAATACTTACATTTTGATGTATAAAGTACAAGAAGTGTGAAAAATGTTGCATTATTGAGTTTGTTTACAAAGATTTGAGATATTTCAGACAATTGAGACAGAGTGTGACAGCATCACACCATAAGTTGAATAGTCTGTGGCWGAGCCCTATAATCTTAGAATACTATTGCTAATAAACCAGCACATTTTAGTTGAATTTTTTTCTAAGAGGGAGAGAAAAAAATCTAAAGAGTAATGGGTGAAATGTAATGAAAATGTTTCAATGTGTATGCACTGGCAGATTCAAAAAATATATAAAGATTACTTCATGTAAGGTAGATAAAATGATTGTTTGCTTTGACATAGTTTGCCAAATATTTTAATTGCCTGGACTAGGAAAACTGGGGCACCCACTGGAGACAGGCCTGGTTGTCGAGCCTAAACTCCTGAGGCTCTGCCAGGTCTAGCCCAAAAACATTGAGGTGGTGGACCTGCTTGTGTTAAAAGAATGGTCGATGTCAYGTGCAGGGTGAGTCAGGTGATAGAMAGTCCCTGGTTGTGCCGACTCCTGTCAGCATAGACTAGTTGTAGGGACGTGGAGTGTCGCCTCTGTAGTGGATGAGGAGCCAGAGTTTGTGCGTGAGCTTCAGTAATACCAACTAGATATGGGCTGTCCTTTCTACACAGCTTTGGCTCCAGAACCCAACTCCTGAAGAGGGCTAGGCTCTTCTCTATCTGGAGTTGTCTAGAGAGAGAGGGAACAGGCGTGTGTGAGGATACTTACAAGCCCCCAGCAGAGCTCCTCCATGTTGGATTTCTCCCCTGTGACTGAGAGGGTTGTCTCTCTGTGGCTTCAAGTGCAGAATGAAAGTTTTAACTGTTGTTTGCATTTATGAACCACACAGTTCAGACTGTTCGGCCCTCTGGGAGTCTTTGGATGGTGTCCTGGAAGGAGTGAACTGTGGGGATTCTGTRGTTCTCTTTGATGACTTTAGTACCGATGTGGGCGGAGTCATCAGGAGGGGACCTTTAGAAGGAATGGTCTTCATGATCTGAACCTGAGTGGTGTCCTGTTGCTGGACTTCAGTTCTAGGCATGGTTTTTGTAACAAACACTGTGTTGGACCATAGGGTGGTCCATAAGTGTACTTGGTAGCAGGCCTCTTTAGGCCAAATGTTACACCTGCAGCCCAATGCCTTGGGATTCCCCAAGAGGAACTGGGGAAAGGAAGGTCTAGCTTTATTTAAATGAATGGATGGATGGATGGATGGATGGATGGATGGATGGATGGATGGAAGGATGGATGGATGGATTTGATGTACTTTTAAATTGGCAGCATATCTAACAATTAAACGTTAGGACTGACTGTTTCTGTGTTTGAAACTAAACGTTAAATTTTTTTGGCAATTCATTGAGCTAAAGAAAAAGGAGACATTGTGTTTTATTACTCAAGTCACCACCTGCACATTATAGACCTCTGTTATCCTTTAACACATTATTTTAACAAGGCTCTAAAAGTTAAACAGTTAAAATCCTTCAGCAAGCAATAACAACAAAACACTTTGTTACCAAACCGAATGTCTCCTGAGTTCATAAATACAGGGGCCTTGCAACGTGGTCATAAATGTCCTTTAACCAACTTTAAACACAGAGATAACTAACAAACCTATTTAGTTTTGGCACTGAACATGTGTTTAAATTATTGTGTTGGTTAAACGCTTTGAACTTGAAATTGTTAGTTGTGTTTGTAAAATGTGCATTAACAGAGACTCCTGACTGAACTGGTTGCACACAGCCTTAGTGATCTGACTGAGTTTGTATAAACTTCTGTAATAAAAATATTCAGGAATCTTTTGCCAAGCTAAGTCATTAGGTTGGGTTTTTAGGTTTATGAGTCAGTTTTCAACTAGACTAGTGGTGTTTCATCCTGGTCCTGGAGGCTCACTATCCTGCATGTTTTTGCTGTTTCCCTGCTCTTCAGAAGAAGAATCATGTTTTCATTCAAATCACGTGCATCAAGGCAGAGAAATATCTAAAACATGCAGGATTGTGGACCTCAGGATTCGGCACCACTGTACAAAACAATAATCTTGTGATGTTTCTGTTACCTTGATGGGTCTGACTGGGTCCTGCTGGGTTTGTAGGGTTGTTTTATGGTGCTGTTGATGCTGCAGCTGGTGGTGGGAACAGGAAACTTGCTGCGGCTGATGAAGCAGGTGGTGCTGAGGCTGTTGGTGGAGAGCTTGATGGAGGTCTGTCTGTTGGCTGTAGCTTTGTTGTAGTTGTTGCTGCAAATGTTGCTGTTGGCCGTACTGTTGCTGTTGATGCTGAAGATGATAGGGAAGGTTTTGTGCTTTGTGTACGTCTCTATGAGTCTCCACCAGCCCTTCCTCTCGTCTTCCACGTCCTCGACCTCGCCCACGTCCTCTTCTTGTCTCTCCAGTCACTGATCCCATTAACCCTCTGCAGTATGAGGGTTCAGGAAGAGGACGTATGCGTGGTCTACCTCGCGGTCGAGGAGGACCTTCACGCTTTGGCTTAGTTGGTTTCCTGCCTCTTTTCTTAGGGCCATCATGGGGGACAATCTGAGATGGGTGCCCAAAGGAAGTGTAGCTGGAAGGGTGACAGAAGTCCATGTCACCCATTATTGGACTGACCCCACAGACTCCTGAGGTCCCACCAGCCTTCCTACAACTAGAAACCAAGTCAGGCAACAAGTCTGAAAGTCGTCGGCTGTTGAGGCGAATATCCGCTGGAGCATCAGCCTTATCTTCATCATCCTCAAATTCATACTCCTGTGCATAATTTTTCTTTGCTTGTGGTTGTGGCTCACGTCGCTGTTTGAGCAAGTGAAACGAGCTGGTCTTCAATAGTTTCTTGGGTCGTGAGGAGCAGAAGATAGGTGAAGTCAAACCACTAGTGTTGGAACTTCCAGCTACAGCTCCCATCATCTTGTTAGCTGAGCCATTCCCTTGAGTTGGTGAACCCAGTCCCAGAGATGGAGTTTGGGACTGGATAAGGCCAAGCTGGTCAGTGTTCACAGTAGAAGGAAGTTCATGAGACTTCAAGGAGCCAAGATCTAAATGAAGGCTGCCATCTCCTGTTCCTGGGAGACTGTGACAGTACTCTCTGTAGCCTTGATCACTGTGATGACTAACCATATCATATCCCTCTCCAGCACCTCCTGCCTTTAAGGCTTCTATACGCTCTTGTGCCCGAATGTGACTCTGGTTAAGATTTTCTTGAACATCTCGTACTGCCCCAGAGTCCACTGTACAGCTTGACTTGTAATCAGACGTACAGAACATGTCCTCCATCTCAGGAAAGAAAGAACGATCCTCATCTTGTAAGAGGGAGTCTGGAAAGCAGATTGATGTTAGAGGTGGAAATCGTTGCTGAACTTGACTCTGTCCTTTATCATCTGAGCTCAATGCGTCAAACTGGTGGGTTTTGAGTGAGTTCAGCTGGGAATGTGTGAGTTGGGTTTCATGCTCTCTGGTTTGGTTTTGAGGCTGTTGTTGGGGAGTCTCCATATTGGTTGCCATCTGGTGTGGGTGTGAATGAGTTAACTGTGTGTGATGGTGGTTGTGTGAGTGTTGCTCATGCAGAGTGTGGGAGTGGGCATGAGCTTGGGGCTGGTTCAGGTGGTGAAGGTGTGAAGGTGTAGACACACCCAGATCTGGTTCAGCAAGGAAATTGTTTAGATCTGAGGCTTTCTGCTGAGAGTGAGGATGAGGGGTAAGTCTTTGCTGCTGTCTGTGTCTGTCTCCACCATCGCCCTCCCCTGCTGGAACAGTCACCCCAACACTAGTCCTGTCCAGCGGTCCACCACTGTCTAAGCTGCTTGCCTGGGACAGAGACTGATCTAGCATGTCCAGAGGAGACAATGAGTTCTGACTGCCTTGGCTTTGATCTCTTGTTTGGGCTGTAAGACTGTAGTGGGTATCTATGCAGCGGTTTTGTAGCTTGAGCTGCAACTGAGAAGACTGATTTTGTGAATGGGACTCAACTCCACCAGGCCCTGCACCCATAATGCCTGGCTGGCTCAAAGAGTGGTGTCGCTGCTGCTGCTCCTGGTTTAGGACTTGCTGAGGGTCCATCTTGGTGTGGGTGGTATGAGAAAGCACAGACTGTAGCATGTGTGTTGACTGAGGGAGCTCTGGTGATGAAGCCATCAAGGAGAGGGGTCCCTGACTTTGCAGAGCCTGCTGTGCATCTGGAGTGTTGCACAAGTAGCCGCTGTCATTGGTGTTGGACAGTTTCTTTAGCTCCATGTGAGAGTGGCTGTGTAAGTGAGGAGCTGAGTGAAGGTGGTGAGAATGTTGTGGATGTTGAGTGTGCCGAGCATGCTGGGAAATTTGTTGTGTGCATGACTGGGAATGTGTGGACACATGTGTGGTGTGGTGGGGATGTTGGGAATGGGGGTGCTGTGTATAAGGGTCTCCTCTTCTGTAATGACCAACAGAGCCCAAAGACTCGTGCTGTTGTTGGTGAGACTGGGTATTATGGGGAAGGGATTTTGAAAACCCTTCAGTAGGGGCCAACTCGGACTTGGTTTGTTTTTTCTGAGACACCTCTAACTGTCTGTTTAAGCCACTTGTTGTGTCACTAATGGCTGTTGTAGTACCAGCAGTGCTGATGGAATTATTGGTACGAATAACACTGTGAGGGTGATATCGATCATCTGAGAGCTGGTTAATTTCATAGCTCATTGCTTTGTCTTCCTCTTCCCTAGCCTGGGAGATAGATTGTGACATAGACTGGGGTAGTTGTTGAGAATGTGACTGACGCTGAGAGAGCTGAGGGGTTGAGGTCTGTGTGTGTAGTAAGTGTTGGATTAAGAATTCATCAGCATCTTCTTCCTCATGTTGAGAGCATTCAGCTGCCAACACGTTAGCCTCTGCTTTTGGCTTGGTTGCTGTTGAGTGGTAGGACTGGCTTTGAGTCGGTCTTGTGTCGGGGAAACCTTGTGGTGAAGGCATGAATGCAGGAGACAGGACAGAGGACATGTATTTTGTGGCCCCTGAGCCTCCAGGGGACTTTGCAGGATGAGCAGTAGGAGACTGCAGTACTGATTGATTGAGAGAACTCACAGGCGATCTATTTGACTTGGGCAGATGGTAAGAGCCAGAGTTTTCATTACCATCAACAGTCTCGCTCCCAGATCCTGCAGATCCAACACCACTTCTATGTGTGGCTGCTCCTGATATACTTCCACTCCTGGCTGATTCTGTGCCATACCCTAAGGATGGGCTGCTTGCTCTTCTAATAGAAGATGAGCCAAAACTCGGGTCCTCAAAAACTATTTCTGCAGAAAAAGAGCGTCCTCCTGCACCTACACCAGTGTAAGCTTTTACCCCGGAAAGCCCAGGTCCAGAATTCAAGTCCTGGGCAGTAGGTGAGCTGAATCCTTTGAAGGGCTGGGCCAAGTGTGAAGATGGAGGCTGGCTGGGAGAATAGGACTGAGAGTGGGGCTGGGCAGGGGTTTGGTCTGATAGGCCAGTGCTAGAATTGGCCACAGACTGAGAGCCATAGTTGGACAGGCATTGTTTGGCAGAAGGTTGCTGCACACAACTGGAGGACACTTGCAGAGGAGGCGGAGGTGGCTGCTGACAAGACAGTGCAGACAAGGAATCGCTGCTTGTCTTGGAACTAGAGGAGGTGGAGGAGCCTGATGGGGGTGTGTGAGGGGCACGAGAAGAGGAAGATGCTGAGCTAGATGAGGAGTAACCACTTGTGGAGTTAGTGGAACTCGTTGGTCCCTTCGTGGCAGATGAAGCAAGTGCTGAGGAGCTGGAGGATGAGGGAGCATAGGGACTTTGAATAGTTGGTTGATATGTTTGAGATTCCAATTGCTGCGAAGGTTTGGGCTCAGTGGGTGGACTCTGTTCTCCCAAAGGACTACAGGACATTCCAGCTTGGTGGTGGTGGTGGCTAACTATCTGCTGGTAGTCAGAAGATCCACCACAGCTAGCATACTGCTGTAGGGCTGATGAATGAGCTGGGGGTGAACTCTGGTAATGTTTGATTACACTGTCCTGTCGAGAAACTCCCCTGTCTGGAGGGAGTTGTAGCTGTAATGGTGCTGCAGGTGGCATGCCTGAGGTGGAGAACATGGAGGCATTGTAGAGCTGAGAGGACTGGTTATGAAGCTGGGAAGACAACAGGTTGAACTGGTGAGGGGGCAGGTGACAACTGGAGGAGGTGGGTGGAACTTGGGTCTGAGGAGGGGCTGGGGACTCCTGGGAGTCCCTGTATGTGGCACTCTGAGAGGCGAGCAAGCGGTCAAAGTCTAAGGTGGACTGGGAGGCTGCTTTAATGTGCAGCAGAGGATCATGGGGGGATAGCAGACCATTCGCCGTTGGGCTAAATGTTCGAGCATCCTGTAAGGTCAGAGAAGGCGTGAATGACCGTCCAGAAAAAGAGCCAGGATGTTGGTACGCAGAGATGGGCGAGGAGGTGGCGAAGGACCCAGAACYTGGGAGTGCTCCTGAAATAAACAGTTCTGCAGGGGCAGGTGTATGCATGGCTACAGGACACAACAGGAAACATACAGTGTTACATTTAACAAACAGGCAATTTATCATTTTTTACTTTGTATAAGGTCTGATTTCACTTACAGCAATTTGAAAAGTTTTCACACCTCTTCAACTTTACATTTTTTCACATTTCAACTACAAACTTCAAAGGATTTTTTTATGAAAGAATAAACATTGTTCATAACTGCAAAGTTTCAAGATATTTTAATTGTTTTACAGATGGATCTCTTCTGAAGGGGTCAGTGGTTGCAAGGGTGCTGATTTTGCACAACCATAAAGAGAGAGAGTACAAACCCCATTAGGTTGTTGTATCTCAAGCTGAGAYATCTGCAATCCACCAGTGTGTGGCATCTCTCAAAGACCTTTAGTTTACACAGAAGGAAATAATCATCCTAACAGATAGCCAAGCTGCTATTGGATCTCTTTAAGGGCCACACTTTACATAATTACTGGCTTGGGAGTGTGCCGAGGCAGTCAAACAACTTGGGARAGTTAACAGTGTTACTATTAAATGGGTACCAGGACATACTGGCATTTATGGTAACAAGAGAGTTGACTGCCTTGCAAGAGCTGGCAGTCAGGCCCACTTTAAAGGAMCAGAGCCTGTTGTAGGTATCTCCATAACAGTCTGTAAGACTGCCCTACAGCCAGGCCTGGATTAGACGTCRACACTCAATCTGCTGCAGGGAGCTGACGGACTGTAGACAGGCASAGGAACTGATAAATGGCCTAAATCTWTGGTTTTGGGAAAGATCTCATCTCCCTGACAAGGAAAACTCTTCTGAGTACACTGGTTGGAGTCCTAACTGGGCACAATCTGCTCAACCAACACAAAATGSTGTTGGGACTCCAYGACAATGGTCCTTGTGATGCCTGTGGCATTGAATTAGAGACATCTTTGCACTATTTAGGCCACTGCCTGACTCTGAGTGGTCAAAGGAAAAGAATTCTTGGTGACCCCTTTATGGACCCTGAGAAGCTCAGAACACTGAGTGTTTCTAAYTTGGTGTCCTTCATCTGAGGGACACAAATGTTTGAATRAARACCAGTGTCTTTTTGTGGMGATCAATGGGCCCATCCTCTGTCACCAYAACCATAAGACATTTCAAAACAAAAAGTGTGGCGWATTTCTGTATTCAACACCTTCATTCTGATTCTCTGAACTAAAATCCAGGGCAACCTTCAGCAGTCAACATTTGTATGGAATTTAAYATCAGGACAAATCCAGATGTTCTGTGAGCATCAGAGGTTTGTTGCAGAACATTAGTGATTAAACAGCATCATGAAGACCAAAGAACACACCAGACAGGTCAGAGATAAGSCAGGTTTAGGCTACAAAGCTATAGTCCAACCCATGTTTGTTTAATCCATACTTAAAAACAGAAAGTCTATGACGCAACTGCAAACCTAACAAAACAATGGGCCTCATGCAAGAACATGTTCGTATTCTTATCCTAAATTTCTCTTACTTTTGTTCGTACGAAGGGTTCGTACGAACAYGCCACGTCAGATTTRACAAACTCTTCTATCTTCAGGAAAAGGGTGTAAATGAGCTGCRTAAATTTAATCTGTYCGTATCAGCTGCTCGTGCACGAGGAGAGGTTATTTACATAATTACCACCCCAAAAACACCATATAAGGCTATGTTTCCTGCCCCACATACCAGGAAGTGTCCATTCATAAATGACATCGCAGTGTAAAAAAGAAGAACTTTACGAGTTCGGAGATTGTAATCCTGCTCTCTGAGATTGAGAAAAGAAAATCTGTTCTCTTTAGCAGCGTCAGTCGTGGAATTAAAGGAGCTGCTTTTAAAGGAATGAAATGAGCTGTTAATGTCGTGTGTGGGTCGTTACCGTCATAGAAATAAAAATATAAATCATATTCATCTCTCTCTAGTCCAGCTCCAATTTTTCTTTGGTCAAATAA